CTGTGGGCCTGTCGCTTCATTTCTGCACAAAAAAAACTAAATTACCGCTGATTATAAGGCACGGTACCTTTAAGGTTGTGTCTTATTAGTCGTCTCTCTCTCTGCAATTAGACGCCTCCTGTGGAGTTGTCCCTCTTCCCTGCACTCATGCAGAATTTGAATTCCCTCCCCTCTCCACCGCTGATGGCAGATAGCAACTGCAATCAGTTGGACTTCTGACAGCGTCAGCCCTGGTTCTGCAGACAGCCCTGGTTCGTTCCAGCCGGTTTAGACTCTTGTTGAACTTGTGTGTCGGAAGTACCCCCGCTTCATGGGCGCCGTTTCCACAGCTGTGGGACACGAACTTGACGTGGCCGGGCCTCTGCCTGCTGGCAGGTCAGTCTGGTGCAGCAGCACTCGGTGCTTGAGCGATGTGTGAGCGATGTACGGCGTCACTCCTGCCTGTCTGAGCCACACAGGGAGGGACGCTAGCAGATCTGCCCCCGTGGGGAGTGGCACTGTATGGGACCTGCCCACGGGAGGTGTGATCCCGTATTAGACATGTCCACAGTTGTCGGGCTGGTTACCATTCAGGCAGCACACCTGAATGAGAGCGATCCCAAACTGGGATATTGGTACGATGAAGAAGTGGTGTTGATCCTGATAACAAAACTCCTTTGAGAGCTGAAAGGAAATCTCCAAAGAGAAAACTAAAATCAGCCTGTAACGACAGCTTGGGCTGGGTCCAGAATCAGGGTTGGGGATCTCCGATTGATAGAGCCAAACTTAACACAGTAGCCTACCCCCTACTGCTTCTTAGAGCCTCATCTGTGCACGATCATGGGGAGCAGCGCTTAATTCCATCCATCCATTTTCTAACTGCTTCTTCCATTTCAGGGTTTTAGGGGAGCTGCAGCCTCTCCCAGCCAGCCATGGGCTCGAGCCAGGGGCGTCCCTGGACGGGATACAAGTCCAGTGCAGGGCACACACGGGCACACACGGACACACACTCGCACCAGGGCCAGTTTTCCCAGAAGCCCATAAATCTACCAGCGTGTCTGGGGGAGGAAACTGGAGCCCCCAGAGGAAGCCCATGTGAACAAGGGGAGAACATGCAAACTCCACACAGAGTGCACCCCAGGTCCGGAATTGAACCCAGGGCCCCTAGTGCTGTGCCACCCTGCCCTTAATGCCCTGGCGTAAATGTTTATAAGTAACAAAGTACAGTATGGAGCCCTCAGTATCCCAGTACTTCTGTTAGAGTATGGCATTAGGAGGATGTTTTGCAAAATGCAAATAAACCTCATCTGAAAAGGCAAGTCAGCCTTTCACCTGCTCAGTCGGATTCGGCTCCCGTGGTTAAAATCGCTGGTGGTGCAGATAAAAACACTCTCTTCCCTTATTTTCCGTCAAGAAGCAAGAGCTTACGAAATCAAATAACTCACTTTTATTTACAAAAATTAGTGAACTCTACAAAAAAAAACGATATACACCAATCAATAATGACAGTTCATGTGAGGGGAGGGAAATAGTTTTTAAGTAGATCTATATATGTACATATTGTATACAGCTACAGCGGCACAGTTTCACAACATTGAGTAACATGGAACAGAGTGACGTTTCTGGTAAATTCCAAAACCAGTCTCTTATTTTTTTTATTATTATTATTTCTGCTCAGAATCAGAAGCTCTTTATAGAAAATAAGATTTCAAGTTCCCGGAAACGGTGCGGCAGGCCCGCGGCGGGGACGCGGTCCGAGGAGGAGGAGGGTCCGGGGTCCCGCTGGGCTACGCGCCTCGACGGAACCTGAAACGGCAGACAGGCACGTGAAGAGCGCGCGTACCAGGGGCCACCCCGCTGCTTTGGGGGTAACCCGGCCCCACGTGTGTGTGGGGGGGGGGCAGGGTCCTCTCGCTCAGCTCCCGAGTATCTTCCGGCGCTTGGGTCCGCTTAAACAATTAGCAAACGGATTCTGAGACGGAACAGGCTTGTTTTTGAGGTACTCAGACCTCTCGATCTGCCGCTGTATTAAGGGTACAGGCTGCCGGCCTTTAAAACGCCTCAGGTCCTGCTCCAGTAAGCCGACTCTGGGCTAGTACAGCTGCAAACAAGTCACCCTGTTACGTCAACCCAACCGCTGCCAATTATGTTAGAGGTCAAATACGATTTTTTTCCCCCTCTTTCGTCAACCGTTATCATTTAGTAAAAGTTTATGGAAACTTTCCGCACGGCACGAAATCCACGCGTGGGGTATGTCAAAGGAAGCAAAGTGATCGTGGGAGAAGGACTCGGGAAATGGATTAGGGGAACCCGCCCGGAATGAAGAAAGTAAGATAGCAGCAGCGGGCTCACCAGCCGCAAAGTGTCCTATATCT